GATGGATAGGTTGGTGGGTGGATGAATGAATGGATGGATAAAAGAAACAAAAATGGAATGAATGAATAAAAGACTGACTCGTCTGATGGGATGCATTGATGAATGTAATGGGATGGAAGAAAGATAAGGAAGAAAGTATAGAAGTAGTGAAAGATCAATTATGGGAGAGGGAGACGAAGTGAAACCACAACGACCAAAAGTAGATCTGGCTCTTCATGTCAGGAACCAATAGAAGGTTCTTGTATCCAGTTGTACTTCCTTGACCATGGTGACACCTTTTAATCTTTAAATACCAAATAATCGGGTTCAGTTCAGAATAAAACTTTTTACAAGTTAATGCCAGATTTTTGTATTCAATTCTTCTCGTGATAGGTAGCCAGTGCAGGTCCTTCATGACAGGAGTGATGTAATCATACTTCTTACTCTGACAGTCGTCTACTGAACAGAATGTATACTACTCATAGAGTATTTAGGAAGTCTGTAGAAGTAGAATAGTTAATGTAATTTAGTCTAGATGTTAAAACTGAGTGGGTTATGATTTGTTCAGCCTTCAGTTATTTTAATCATATACATTATTAAAGCAACCTTTACTGAGCAACTGAACTTTACGAATAGYGTGCATTGTCGATCACACCATAAAATCAAATTCACGCCGAGGTGGATAGCCGATCTGACAGTTTCAGTTCCTATTTGAGAGGCACACGTCAGGGATTCGCACATTGTGTTGGTTTAATTACACACACAAAAAAAAACTCAGGTTTAAGAATTTAAGCTCGTTATGGATCCTTGATTTCATCTATATTGTTGATCACAAGAGGTTCCATCTTGGATGCAATTCAGAAGCCAACTGTTGAAAATCGTAGCCAATAAATGACATGCAACGTGCTGCTTGGGTACTGGATATTGATGGAGGGAAGGGGAATTGCACGAAGAGTGATTGGAGATTCTGAACTCCATATATCAAAACTGAACTTGTGGTATAATTGATGAAGATGACAACTCTGAAGACCTGGTGACTAAGACGATTGTACTATGCAGCCTCACCATTTGGACAGTGGAAGGTTTTWAAAAATGGTCCCGTAGTTTATTTACTTACTTGTGTAACTGATAAACGTCTTTTTTTAATGAGGGAAAAATATAATGTTCTGACGACAAAAGTAGCCCGGGTAAAACGGGATCAACCATATAGGTGGCTACGGCACATTTTTGGCGTTGACTGGCGTGATTGGTGTTGATGTTGAAGTGTGTTGGTGATTTTAGGGGTTGTGGTGAAAGCAATAGTGATAGCGATAAAGGTTATTGTTTTATTTCTAACAGATCGTCGGACCAGACCGGAATATGCTACAAGGACGTATGTAAAGAAGAGCTGTTTTACCCTCTTTCGCCAGCATATCAAGGCGAGTCCAAAGACAAAGTTATGGCATATTCATTAATTCTCATCTTTCTCACCATCATCGTATATTTCTATACAAAACCATGGGGATGACCGATGGAGT